AAACATAACTTTCGGTCGCAAGACGCAAGATTAGGTACTAAGTGCTTTTTGAGAGGGCAATTCTCCAAATGGCTTCGATCGAAAAGAAAAGAAAATCATCAAATGACTTCTTTCACCCCGTTTGCGGCGAGGAGTGTCAGTGTTACTCATTAGAAACCCCCCGTTCCTTCTCCTGCTCCAGGCTCAGGCCGCGTTTCGATTTACTTAATCTAAAATACAGTCCGTCGTAGTCGACCGATTTCTCAAATAAGTAAGTATTTATATCGTAACATCTGAAAACTGTGGAATGATCTTTCGGCGGCGGTATTTCTTAATCTATACAACCTACAAACCTTCAAGAAACGAGCGTAATCACCTTCATTAAAAGGTCGGCAATGCGCTTGTGACTCCTCTGGTGTTGCAGGTGTGAATTGGCGGCGTTGTTCACTTACCATCTATCACCTGATGGTCTGCAGGTTTGCCTCCTGTTCCATAAAAAAAGGAAATTTAAGCAAGAAAAACCTGATTATGGAATTGAACTAAATATTATTAGATAATAGGTAATTATACCAAGAAGCCTTTCTCAGCTGTAGGCTGTTTACGCTGACGATGATTCTATAAGTAGGTAGGTACCTAAAATACAAAAATACCTAAAAGAAGTTGGGTACCTATCTACCTAGATATGCTCCCTTGAAAGGGCTACATATTTACCTAATTCTGTCAATTTCTCTAAACCTTACACCTTAGGTAGGTACTCTTAGGTACTTAATTAAACGCGTGTAAGGCGAAATGTGCCTCCTTTGTCGTTATCCGACGTCCATGAGTGTCACTGATTGCTTACCAGATGATAAAAAAAAGATTAAAAATTAAAATCACAAATAATGAAATGTTAACTGTTAATTTACCTTCCATTCGCAAAAATTAAGTTAGGTAAGTGATTATTTATTTAATTCATAATCTTTGAATTAAAATTGACGTTTAACATAGCTACGTAGGTAGATTGTGTGAAGTTTCTATCAAAACTTCTATCAAAACGAACATTACGGATTCAATCATTCATATCATATGGATCATGTTTTGAATAAAAATTTATACAAAATATGCCTAGGTAGGTAAGTACAATTTACAAATCGTGATTGCCTAAGCTACGCCATGATTGAGCAATGCAAAAAAACGTAAGTTTGCGTGTTGCTAACACTAATAATGTAGGCGCGGCGAGTATATCTATAATTAGCGATCTTATGCGGTAATTATGTGGTCGTGACCACCTGTTAACCACTGGTAGTTTCCCATAGGGTGATAGGTTATACAAGGGTACTTTTTACCTAACAAAACACTGTTTTTTGCATTACTTTTTATGCATTTTTAATTGGTATGTAACCTGTAATTTTGCGTGGGCTTGCTTGAAGTGAATTACGTTTTTACTTTGATAGTAATAGTAATAGTAGTGAGTAGATATATACTATATCTACTTACTTAAATATGTCGATGTACTGTGTGTATCTGATTGCGTAGAAAATCTTTTATTTTTTGAGGAAATATTTTACTTAGGTACTCTAATGTGAATCTGGATGATATACTTATTGTTCGCTGTTGTTCATAAATTGTACCTAGGTACTACAATTGGTTGAAATAGGTACTTAGGTATCTAAATACTTTGCCGCGCCAAATTAGTGCGTGGCGGAATGAGCTCCGGCGAGATTTCATGGCTGAGTGGAAGCAGCGACTGTCGCAACCGAGGGCCGGGCACGCTACTATAGCAGCGGTAAGACCCCTCTTTGAGGAGTGGCTTGAGAGACGCCACGGCGTCCTCACCTTCCGCCTGACGCAGGTGCTTACCGGGCACGGCAGCTTTGGTAGGTTCCTGTTTCGGATCCAGCGGGAGGAAACGCCCGAGTGTCGTCATTGTGAGGATCACCTGGAGGACACAGTGGAGCATACGGTGGCGGAGTGCCCTGCTTGGGCCGAGCACCGCCGTGTTCTCAGGGAAGTGATCGGCGGCGGCGACCTCTCGCGCCCGGCCTTAATCGAGGCCATGGTGCAGCGTGCACCATGCGGCGTGCAGCGTGCACGTGCTTCTGCGAAGCAGTTATGCTCGCAAAGGAGGAGGCGGAGCGCGTGAGGGAACTATCCTCCTCGCGCCCCAGCCGCCGCAGAAGGCGACATTCCGGACGTCGGGGATCGAGAGATGATCTCCGGCCACCGTAAGCGCGGATCTGCGGACGGCGAGTACCGCGACCAGAACCGGACCCGAGCGTACGGCGCGTAGCGTTCCGGGCGCGCCTCAAAGAGCCAATAGACCACCACAGTCGGGGCCCTAAAGTGCTGATGTTTAGCCGGGGTTGCGGGGTAAGCGCAATGAGGCACCGCGACCTCGGCCCAGAGCAGGAGAAGGAACGGGGGGGTTTTTGAGAAGTCATTGGATGATTTTCCCCTGACAAAAAAAAGGTATCTAAATACTTATTCAGGTGCAATTTAGATTTACATTATTGAATTTATAGTACATATCTAACGCGACAGTAATTTTCACTTCACTTCAAGTATCATCAATACTTACATAGTAGGTACCTATAAACCTAAGTCGCTCTCTCTGTCCCTATATCCCTATGTATGCTAAAATCTTTAAAACTACGCAACAGATTTTGATGCGGTTTTTTCAATAGATAAAGTGATTGAAGAGGAAGGTCTTTAGATAAGTATGTGTAATAGCATCCATTAAATAGTTGAGAAATTTAGTATTAGCATTGCATTGAACAGGTGAAAAGGATAGCGAGCGGGTCGCTAGTTTAAAAATGTATGCTAAAATCAATAAAACTTGAATTTCAACTTAATTTATACCTAAATAGGTATTATATTCGATGTGACGTTTACCTAATTCTCGTTTTCGATTCAGGTAGGCAGGTACCTAGTTATGTATAGATTATATTTTTAGGTAGTAGCATAGGTATCTTATCATAAAAACGGGTTTTTTAAACGTAAAAATAGGTAGGTAATCGCAAATCAATAATGACGAAATATCCCTCGCAACTTTACTTACGTGAGACAGAGGAAAATAACGGTCAAATGTACCTACTCCTGACTAATTAAAAATTCATTTTATTTATAAAATTTCTTTATTTTAATTTGTTCATCCCAAACAGAAATACTTTTACATCATCTGTTTAGCTATCACGGTTCATGTTGACGGACAGACAAAAGGATAAATAGACAGAGCTGAGTCTTAGTACCTACCTAATAGGGACCCCGTTTTTACCCTTTCCCACGTAGGTACGGAACTCTTAAATGTTTAACAAGCCTAGATATAAGTATTATTCTCTAAATACAAAAATCATACTTGTGATCGGCAAACAAGCGGACGGATTACCTGATGGTAAGCAATCAGCGCCGTCTATGGACACCCGCAACGACAGAGGAGTGCCGAGTGCATTGCCGACCTTTTGGGGATTAGGGATTTGAAGATTTAGAGATTGGGGATAGGGAAATAATGGGCCGCGTCTAGCATCATTCACGCAGCGAAACACAACGCTGTGGTTGTTCCACGCCGGTTTTCTATGAGGCCGTGATATCACTCCGGTCGAGCCGACACATTCGTGCTGAAGCATGGCTCTCCCACACTTAGCAAAACGCTCCACTGCGCCATTCAAGAAAAACAAAGTAAAACTGTTATAACCTAAATACAAATTATGTAGAAATATTCAATGCTAGGTGGGTAATTCTCAAATTAATATTTATTTGAATACCTACCTACTCATACCTACACTTAAATTATTATTCTCCTGAATTTTTAACAATGTAAACAACTTATTATCATCAAAACTTTTATCGGATTGCTTGAAAATAGTCACTTATACTAATATTATAAAGAGGTAAAATTTGTTAGTTTGATGTAGGGGGTAATCTTTGGAACCGCTGCTCGGATTGCCACAATTATTTCACTGATAGATAGCTACAATGTTCCTGAGTGCTATAGGCTACCATCAAATGGAGCTGAGCAGAAGGTGAAACCGCGCGAGAGTATCAAGTCATCAATACTTTTATCGGATTCCTTGAAAATAGCCATAGATATAACTATACTTACATTTTTTTTAAATCATGATTTGTTTCTTATCGTCAGAGCTGTTAACTTCATTAGTTTAGGATTGTGACATCGTTAGTAATACTTAATATTTGTTTAATTTATAAAAAGAATCACCCATGGATACTTAAGTACTTTTATTCGATAGTTTAAGTAGTGCCTATGCTCTGTGCTTCTATTTTATATCAACCAATCAGAATCCGCTAATTTCCAACTAGTCAGATTCAATAGGTACTTTTATCCGAATGTTAAAAACGATATTTTTCTATGAATTATTATGTAGGTATCAAACAGTGAACCCATACCTTCCTAGGTCAAAAATAAATTGAGTCGAAGTTTCAATGTAACAAAATATTGAAAAATAAACGACTTACAATTTTATTCATTGATTTGTTGATACACAAAATTTTCGATATTTTTGAGAAATAAGTAGGTAAGCTATTTGACGCTAAAATACTTACTATGACGTTAAAGTTGGCAGTTTCATACAAATTTCATAGAACAGATTCGTATTTGACATGAAAGTATTGAATTTGACTATTTGGAAACTACCGTATTATGACTTCATATATTTTTGAGTCAAATAGCTAACTTATTTCTTAAAAAATAGCTAAAAAAATATCAAACATTTTTTATATCAATGAATAAAAGTATCTAGGTATACCTAGTTATTATTCAATATTTTATTGTAACGTCGAAATAATTTATTTTTGACCTCGGAAACTACCCAATCGTAATTCCTTTTAATAAGCAGTGTCATTTCAAACGTGACTGACAAGAAATATTGCCAGAGTTGTTTTGCCAAAGTATTTATCATTTATTTATTATTTTATACGAAATGTGACAAAATAAAATAACCAATCTTTAAAAAAACATTAATAATTTAATCAAATAATTTATATAAGTAGGTATATCAACAAAAAAAATATGTCACAATTAAAAATATTTAAGCTTTCATAGCGGGTTTCATTTTTGGTTTTTTTATAATGGAACCAACACTTTTTCTTTTCATTAAATTCTTTTTCTTCATCGGTGTTTGGTTTCCTTTGGTCATTTTTACTTTTTTCTCTTTCTTCTCCTTTTTCTCTTTTTCAACTCCGTCCTTTTCTTTTGTTTTAACTTTCTTTTCTTTTTCCGTTATTTTCTTCGGTTTCATAACCTTTTCTTTGTCGGTTTTCGATCCAGTTGTCTTTTTCATGCCCTTTTCAACGGTCTTCTTCGTTTTTTCTCTTACTTTCTTCATTTTTTCCGAATCTTTTTCTTTTGGTTTTTTGTCTGTTTTCGGTTTTGTCTTGGCGGGAACGAGTTTGAAAGAGCCGGACGCACCGATCCCTTTTGTTTGGACGATACTGCCATTTTCGACAGCGGATTTTATGTATTTCTTTATAAAGTAGTTCAATTTATCAGTGTCAGCGCTGTATTTCTCAGTAATGTACTTTTTGATTGCATATAGCGATACCCCTTTACGTGTATTGAGGTCGATTAGAGCTTGATTGATCATTTCTTTCGTCGATAACTTCTTTTCTGGTTTCTTCTCAAGTAAGTCCTCTGAGGGACTTTTAGGCATTTTTTTATTGTTTAGTTTCGGTAATGCAGATTGCAGTTCTAAATCCGATCCTTCTTCGGACGACATTTTAAGGTTATAATTTTGTCAATGGTAAATTCAAAATGGCCGCTTATAAATTTTGTTGGAGTTTTTATTTCTTTGCGCTTAAGTATGAACAAGCTTTACCGTAACGACGACAATATCGTCGATTCGATATTTAACACAAGAATTATCAAAAAAATAAGGTAATATGAAATATTTTGGTGCGTTTGTGAGTATAAAAGGGGCCGATGCATTTTTAGACGCTCAGTCGCGGTCGAAAAAGCGTAGGGGGTACACGTCGACTAAATGTTTAAATCAACTAAGGGCTGGTTTTTAATAGTCAGATAAATGTTATCTGAGGAATAAAATTGTTGCTATCACTGTCTTATACAAACATTCTGATGCGACAGCATCATGATTATTCCCCAGGTTAATTTTATGTAACCATTGAAAAATCAGCCCTAGCTTTTAAAATTTAATGTGAAAATTTCAACGCAACTATGCAAGATTTTACTTCTAGCTACCCACCTAGGCCTCACACGCGTTCAAAGCTGTTACAAAATTTCTCCACTATTTAATGGATGTTATTTTACATATAAACCTTCCTCTTCAAGTGTGGGAGAGCCAAGCTTCGGCACGAATGTATCACTTCGATCGAGCCAGCTCATTCGTGCCGATAGTGTCTAGTAGGTTATCTAATGTAATGATAAAGAAGTGATGAATAAAATTTATGTGCTTTATTTTAAGTACTTAATCGATCATTTTTGTTTTCTACCGCCTAAGATATTTATAATTAACTTTGAGGTAGGTTAAAACTAATTAATGCTTATTCTATTTATTTGATTTTCTTAGACATAGTTAGGTACTAGAGCAATTGTTATTGTAACAACTCATCATTACATAGGTAGATAGTATAAAACAAAGTCGCTTTCTCTGTCCCTATAGGTATCCCTCGGTATATGCTTAAATCTTTAAAACTACTTACGCAACGCATTTTAATGATAATTTGAGATTCAGAGACGGATTTTGATAGAGTGATTGAAGAGGAAAGTTTAAGTTCCCTCACGACGTTTTCCTTCACCGTATGTCAGTGGTGTCTAAATAATCATAGAAAACATGTGTGTAATTTGGAAAACCTAACATTGTTTCTTAAAGAGACTGACTTCTGAGTTTGTTTCGGCAATTCTTCTAAGAGTAGTCAGATAGGAAATGTCGGCTTCATCTAGTTTTTTACATATAAATTGACGTTATGACCTATTTGCAAAAATAAATTCATTGTTTCATTGTTTACCAGATTTTGAAACCTCACCCTCATGCATGAGAAGCGGGTAGACCTCCGGGCCACCACGACCTAAGTGGTTGCAATTAATATATATAAATAATTAGATTTATCTACCTATCCATGGATGGACTCAATGATATTAGTGTAGAAACTGCACTCACAATCCCCAAAAATCTCCCAAAAGGTTGATAAGATAGGTACTTTCTTTTTTTATTAGGACACGCCAGTCGCAACCTCCCAAAACCGCAACATCCTGTGCACCAGGATCTACAGTAGATACAACCATGAAAACACCGGAACACTGAAGTCCAGCGCATCCTAGGGACATGAATGACTGTCTTGGATCACGCAACGAAATAAATCTGACGATATTAATCTCTGGTGCTGCAAATGTCCTTGGGACGCCGTAGGTACGTCAGTGTTTTCATGGTTGTATATCTACTGTAGATCCTGGCTTTTAGCGATTGCTGCGAGATCATCTTGGATACCGCAACGAAATAAATCAGAAGATATTAATTGAGGAGAAGAAAAACTTAACGGACTTAAAAGGTTATAGATAGATATTTACTTATTATAGGTACTAGTTGACACAAATCATTGAATTTATAACACGTTAATTTAGCATTCGTAGATAGGTACCTACTTTTCTTTCTATCTACGTAAGTCATTCTCAAAAATATGGTATTTCATGCAGAAACAAAACAGGAAGGTAGGTAAGCAACATGATTTACAGCCGTATCTATCTATAAAATTACATAGAACTCTGTCGATTTTTACAATTATTCGAACTTAAGCACTTAGGTACTTATGGTACGCAGGTAAGTACCTAGTTTTCAAATCAAACTAAGTATTACTCCTTAGTCAAGGTCCAAGTACCTACTTTTTTCAAATGTCAAATGCAGGTACGGTAATCGGGTAGTTTCTTGGGTCAAAAATAAATTATTCGATTTTGCAATAGGTACTATTAATTACAATTGGGTAGTTTCCTCGATCAAAAATTAATTAATTAAAATTATGGAAAAATACCTGTACTTTTACTTATTCATCGATCGATCGATACACTAAGTTTTAGATATTTTTAGCTAATTAATAAGAGATAAGTAAGCTATTTGGTTTGATTCTAAAATATTATTTACTGACTGACTGACTGCACGGTTGGTGCGGTGGCTGGGCAACTGGCTGCCGTACATACAAGGTGTCGCGGGTTCGATTTCCGCACGGAACAACTCTTTGTGTGATCCACAAATTGTTGTTTCGGGTCTGGGTGTCATGTGCATGTGACATTGTATGTTTGTATGACATCATATGTTGCGATTTCATACAAAATTTATAGAAACGTAGACATAGTTTCTGACATTTCAATAATTGAATTTGACTAGTGGGAAACCATTTGGAAACTAACAATTTTCTAAGGATTTTGTACATGACATGGCCAAACAATTTGTGACATCTTTTTTTTTTAACGTCAAGTCAAACAGCATACTTTCATAAATACCCAGTATTTCTCTTTAATCGTCGCAAACAAATAAGTAAGTAGGTATTAAGTAATTATAAGTATCGTTAAATTAAGTAATGACTGAATTATTTAAGTAGTTAGATAAGTATTTTCAAAGTGGAAATCAATCTTTATATATAAAAATGGATCGCAAAATGTGTTAGTAAGCGCATAACTCAACAACGCCTGGACCAATTTTGCTAATTCTTTTTTTGTTGTATTTGTTACTGTCAGGAGAATGTTCTTATGAAAGATGATTTTAGAAAGGTAGGGGGGATATCGGGAAATTGCAATCGGTTACCCGTGCGAAGCAGGAGCGAACGGCTAGTTTCTTATATAGTACACTGAAAAAACTGCCCAATTTGGCAGGGTTTTAGGGTGGAACTTAATCATCTAAAGGTTTTTGGGTTGGATTTTAAAACGAGTAGCCATTATTTAGGGATCTTGGAGGTATTGTGGCCTGAAGAAAGTTATTCTTTGGCGGTGTTCCGTGCTTGGGCTGAGCACCGCCGTGTCCTCAGTCCTCTCGCGCCCGGCCTTAGTCGAGGCCATGGTGCTCAGCGAGAGGAACTGGGACGCCGTCTCCTCCTTCTATGAAGCAGGTAGCTGTGCTAGCAAAGAAGGAAGCGGACCGCGTGTGGATCAATCCTTCTCCTCACGTCCCAGCGGCCGCTGTAGGTGATAGGTACTCAGGGCGTCGGGGATCGAAAGACGATTTTCTGCCATCGTAAGCAGGGGACGGCGGGTAAGGGTAGCTCGCCGCCTAAACAGATCCAGACCCGAGTGGACGGCACGCAGCGTTCCTCAAAGAACCAATAGACCACTACAGACGGGGCCCTATAGGGCTGATGTTCAGTTGAGATTGCGGGGCAAGACCAATGTGGCACCGCGGCGTCGGCCTAAAGCAGGAGAAGGAACGGGGGGGTTTTTAGTCAGTAAGAGACAGTGACTGCAATGATTATTTTCCCCTTACAAAAAAAGGGGGATAGTCTTAATGCCCCCAAAGTAATTTTGCAATGGATTATCTATGCTCTAGTATGGGATAAATACAGTTTTTCAAATGTTTTTTTTTAGGTTTTACTTACTTACTTATGTAAAAAACGTGAGTGAAACGAAACGCAAACCGCCATTTTGGATATATTTGAATTGGATTTTTTTTTTTACCACGAGTTGGCACAATCCTACTTCGTTAGGTTAACGTTAGGTTTTTTAGGTAAGGTTGGATGGCTAACCTAAGCCGTCGTGTTTTTTTTTTAAACCACCCACAAGTAGGAGGCCGACGATTATCGGCGCCGACGACCTTAATGATTTTGCACCCAGTTTTCTTTATGTGATGATGGATGATGACTGAAGATCTGAGACTGGATATTCGTTCTGCTGATGTTATGGTGCCACTTATGCCTATTGAAGAATGTGGAAGTTGCCACCACCATTCTTATCTACTGGTTTTTAAAGGTTTAGTCAAATTTGATTTTTAGTTTTACAAAAATAAACGAATATTTCCCGTTTGTGAAAATAGAGAGGGGGGTGTTTTGACATTCCTCCCACTGCAACCAACCACTTAAAATAACGACGTATTTTAAAATGTGGAATATTGTAAAATATGAAAAGTGTGGGAGAGCCAAGCTTCGGCACGAATGGGTCGGCTCGACCGGAGTGATACCACGGCCTCATAGAAAGCCGGCGTGAAACAACCCACAGCGTTGTGTTTCGCCGTGTGAGTGAGTTTACTGGAGGCCCAATCCCTCCCCTTCCCCTACCCCTTCCCGATCCTTATATCCGCAACCCCTATCCCCAAAAGGCCGGCAACGCACTCGTAACTCCTTTGGTGTTGCGGGTGTCCATGGGCGGCGACGATTGCTTACCATCAGGTAATCCGTTTGCTCGTTTGCCAAGTTATACCATAAAAAAAGGTTACCAGCCTTTTTCCTATTTACGTAAGAATTTTTATTTTCCCCACCCTTTAATGGGGCGGTCACACATATGTGAGCATTTTAATTGTATTAACTATAGGGGAGATTGGGGATTACAAGGACAGACAACCAAGTAGGTAACATATTTTATAACAAAAAAAATTGGCTTGTTTGTATTTTATTGTCAAGGGGTGAGATTGGGGATGAATGGATAGGTAAGGACGTTACTTTTTCATAAGTAGGTATAATAACATTTTTTTACTTACCTACTGAATAAAATTTTTTTTACCGTGAGATATTAAATAATATGGAGTATTTCAATAAAAAAAAATATTGAAGTATTTTATTTTGCTAAAAGTTTTTTTTCTTAAAACGAAAATAAATCAAAAAAAAAATTTTTCTAACAAAATCTTTAAAATAAATTAGTAGGTAAGTACCTAAGTATGTAGGGTAATAACTAATAACAAATGTAATACATTTGATTACTAAATATCAAGTAGGCTAATTATGTCAGACGCCTAGTCAATGAAATATGAGAAGCCATCGTAACATAAAAAAAAGAACTCATATAAAACCTTTTTCATTATAAGGTATCATATTAAATTTCTACTTACTAAGTATTTTAGGAGACTTCGTTATTATGATTTGCAACCTTCTTGCAGATTTCGTGTCTTTAAAAAACTTGACTAAAATTTTTGCAGAAATCGAGTTAGGTAATTTCTACCGGGTAGGCGTAAGTGGATCGATTTGAAAATATGATTCGATTTTCGAAATTAATTTTACATTCGTATGTACTTTTGTCATAATTCCTTAGCAATAGATTATAGTCATTTACGTAAAAAAAACAATTCATCTTAAAAATTATGTTTCATTGTTTCCCGTCGGAAAATTAGAATGGATTGTCACATTTAAAACACGATTATTTTCAAGTAAATAAAACACATAGGTTATAAATTCAAATATATATTTCAATATAAAACCACAGTGGCATTATAAATAAACAATTTTACGATGCAGGACTAAACATGAAGTCAGCAAATAGGCCCAAATCATGTGAATAATTCATATCATCAACCATTCTATACAGATGACATCACTCCACCAAGACAGCCAACTTGCGACAGGATTATCAACCTTACCCACTATTAATAAAGCTGATTATAAATCGATTACTGGTCAAAAGTAATTTCTTAAGTCGCCTTTCCGTTTGAAGTCGAAAAAAATTACTTAAGCCGTCTCACTCTAACTCATGACTAATCTACGTAAGCATGAGTGAGACATACGCATATTTGTTCAGTTTACCCGTCTCGTAGAGAGGATATTGGGGTCATGGAACGTGTTTGAATTTCGAAACACGTCCCGTCCAATACCGTGCGTTGTTATTCACTGTTTTATCATTGGTTAGGCGGCCCCCGTACCACAAAGTCGTGCCTTTTGTAAAATCGATACCGTGCAGTACTAGGACTATCGCTTTCCTGTCGCTAACGTCTGTCGCTGTGAGTTTTGTGGTAGATCAGCTATACACTGTGACCGTATCTTTTATGTTATTCGTGCAGCCATTTCGTTTCGAAAGATGTCCGGAGTGAGTTTAATCGTGACGTTTTGATACGTTTTCTATAGTTTTTTGACGTTTAAGAAGACACCATCGCTGTGGATCTGTTACGGTAAGTGGAGTGCACGTTATTACATATAAATATCAATATAGAATCGCGTTTGAGTCCGTATTTTGGTCGAAAAACGTCAAAAATGTCCATTTTACTAGCAGTACTGTGTTGTAACACTGAAATAACTTCGAATTTCGAGCGTGACGTCACGGCCATTTGAAATACGAATTCAATTACTGATTCCGTTAGTTTTTTAATCGATTTGCTACAGTGGGACAGTGTATTTTTAGTGTTTTATAGTGTTTCTGTGGATATTGTGTGGATTATCGATTTCTGGTGTCGTGGTTTTGTTTGTTTACATACATTTTTGCGTGGATATAGTGTCTGTCATGCGATTAGACTATGTAAGATGGCTTCAAATGACAATTTGCGTCGAGTTAACAATAACACAGTTTCTTATTACTTCACATTAAAGCCTAAAATGCTGTTACTGCATATTTTGATTGGATATTATGCTGTGTCCCTTTCTCGCGGTGTTTGTTATTGTGTTTGCATCTCTTTCTGGCATGAGCGACTTATTTATAGAGAACTCGGCGTGTTTGGCGTTCCCCTGTGGCGCCCTACATTATTATAAGTGTTGTAATTTTCACGTGTTTTTTATCGATATGTTTCGTTATCGATAATTTTGTTTTTTTTTATGTTTCGTGTGAATTCGTGTGGATTTTGTGTTGTTATATTTTATTATAATAACTTACCTTCATTATTTTATTAATAGTATTGTTTAATTTCACGATTGAATTATCATATTGGCCAATATTACAAAAAGTAGTCTTTTAAATATTTTCTTGACACAGTTTAATCTGTTTATTTACAACAATTTTTATTACTTTAAGTACGTTTTTTCCCTTATTTCTTTTTCTACCTGGTAACTTTTGCCTTGCAAAGCGACTACCATCTTACTAAATACCCACTTAATAATTTTAATGGTAATTTTAATGTAGTATTGCATCATAACAGTTAATGAATGCACCAGCCATGTTAAACTAAGGTTATATTATATTTTTTCATTTTAATATCAAATCTATGAATGTTAATGTCTACTAAGTATTTCCGCAAAATCTAGGCCCTAACAAAAATAAACCACCGTAGCTCTTCACGTGGGTATGAATTCAGTTTCTTGGGGATTGTGATTAGAATTCATTTGTGAGTGGTTTAATGTATTCTAAAATCAATTTAAATAGATTTATAGCGGACATTTCGATTGTATTTGACAAAATCTAGATATTTTTTCTAATGAAATAACTAAATAAACTGGTTTGTTGTCATATAATGCATTAATAGTATGTGACATATTTATTTTGCTCGCGTTAACATCCATTTATTTAATAAATCAAAACCTTACTTAATTAATTTCTGTCTGGTTGAAATTACATAGCTTATATTGGTATCCACGTGTTTATTAATCTACATGTGTGCCAAAATTCATCATAATTTGGGTCTGCAATTTAGGAAAAAGCGTACCATAAAAAATTTATTCTCTCTAGAGACCTCTTGTAACTTAGGATTGCATATATTTTTTTAATTGGAACTATGGATACTGTATATTTTTCTATAAAAGTCATAAAAAGCTTCTGGAAAAAAACTTCGATTTAAAAACCGTGATAACTAAAGCTAATTTAAAAAAAAACATTAGCATAAAAAGTGTCGATAAAAAAATACCACGAAAAAAATCTATCGATCGCAACCACATCACTAGAGTTGAGATAAAAAAAATAAAATGTCTGCCGCCATCCGCTGCACAGGGATTATTATTACTCCCATCCCTTATATACATAATAAACCTTATTTACTAAGTACTAGAGTCCATATTCTATTGGTGTACATGAATAGCCTTTGTGAACGAAGGGATTTCGGCGTGTTATTGGATTTTGGACCTTATAATGCGGAGATAAGGCTTAGAATATTGGAAATGGGGTAATAATAAAAGCAAATAATACGTTTCCATTGAATTGTTCGATGGTGATTTACGAGGGGGCTAAAGATGGTGGTCGCGAAGCAAGTTGGAGCGTCTGTGTGTGCATTTCTCCGAAACTGCTTCACCGTTTTTGATGCTTTAAGTTATTTTGATTGCGTTTTTAAGTTAATGTGTAGGCACTTAATCGTTTTATGTATGATGTTGGTTAATTATGTCTTTTTTGTGTTTTTTTATAGTAAGTAGGCCTATATATTCAAGAAGAAATATTTTTTTTTTCATTTAGAAGTTTCTAAGACCAGACCACGTGTCTCTATTCAAATTTTAAGTAAAACTTTTCAAATCTCTTTTTTTATTAAGTTCGATATTCAAAATCACCTATATGATTTTCAAAAAAAAAACAAGTAAAATTGAAAAAGTATGCTTGGGTCTTAAAAAAAAATGCCTACGTGACCTCTATAAATAGATTACTGCCTAGTTATTATCACACGTGGTTATTAATTATTATATTCTGGAATTGACCCACGTGAATGGCATAATTATGACCCCTTAGACCTAACAACATTGGTTAAGTCCCACCTAGGTGGGCTTCATAGGGCTTAGAAAAGTAAAATGTAAAACCTAACCTAAAAAAAAAACAAAAACAAAAACTCTTTCACCCATAAGGTATAAGAAAAAAAAAACACAGTTTCTTTTTATAAGGGCTCTGATAAAACTAAATCAATATCCAACCTAAAAAAAAATTAGGTATAACAAAAAAAAAATAGTATTTCTTTTTATAAGGGCTCCGGTAAAATGGAAAATAAAATTAATATCTAACCTAAAAAAAAACAAAAGAAAATCACTTTACACCCATTACCTATGAGAAAAAAAATGCTTAGCACTTATTTTTTTTTTGAAATTGTTGACGAAGGTAGACAATGACATCTATTCGCCAACCCAAAAAAAATTTGGTAGAATTTTAAGTTTGCCAATTTTTGTATTTTATTGTCGAAAGGTAAAGTATATCAATTTTCCCCATTCTACTCTTTTAAAAAAACTTTTTAAGAAATATTTTTTTTCTGTTGTTGTAACTAAAACTAGCTATTGAAGGATGGGAGGCAGCATAGTGATTACTAGTAATCACCAAGCAATTTGCGAAGCATGGTGATTGAGACATGGTGAGCAAGCCCCCTTTTAAGATGGGAGATCTTAGCACAGCAATAGACAATGAGAGACTTATCAGTAAAATTCCCAATTATTTTTATCAATTTTATCAAAATCGGTTTAGCAGTTCAAGCGTAAAAAGGTAACAGACTGACAATCAAGAATCAACCAAGAGATAGTGAGAACGATTTTGTTCTTTGTCTTACTTACATAGATTTAAGGTTCATTTTTGATTGGCATGTTGGTCATCAATAATGACTTTTCTTCAACTCAGGGTTTGAAGACCCTCTACATCTTGTTAGATGTGATTTAAGATATTAAAAAAAAAAAAATAGTCAATCACGGAAATATACATCTCAGCTTACCTTTTTGCGAGAGACTATCACCGGCCACCTAGAGCGCGAGTCTGCGGACGGCGAGTAAGTGTAGCTCGCCGCCCGACCAGAACTAGACCCGAGCGTACGGCGCGTAGCGTTCCGCGCGCGCCTCAAAGAGCCAATAGACCACCACAGACGGGGCCCTATAGGGCTGATGTTCAGCCGGAGTTGCGGGGTAAGCGCAATGAGGCACCGCGACTTCGGCCCAGAGCAGGAGAAATAACGTGGGTATTTCTAGTCAGTAAGAGTCTGACACTGCCTCCCGCTCTATCCTGGGCGGGAGATGTTACATACTAATGGGTAGGCTTGCTCCATCGTAGGTCGCATCATTGCTTACCATCAGGCAAGACTAAAACAAACGCTGGTCCACTACTGTTTCGTCGTATCTGAGAGAGGTTACTGGGATCCCCAACCCTCCCACCGTACCATCAACAAACCCCAAATCACCAACTGTCAAATCCCATACCCCCAGACAAACAAAGCAATTATGCCATCTCCGGTGTTGTGGCTACCCATGACGAGGGTGATTAGGTGATTGTATGTGATAAGACTGCAAACGAGCAGACCCATTACCTGATGGTAAACAATCAGCACTACCCATGGACACCCACAGCAACGGAAGAGTTAAGAGTGCCTCACTGACCTTTTGGAGATTTCGGGATTGGGGGATGGGAAGGCCTCAGGTAACTTCATTCACACGGCGAAACACAACGCTATGGTTGTTTCACGCTGGTTTTCTGTGAGTCCGTGGTATCACTCCGGTCGAGCCGACCCATTCGTGCCGAAGCATGGCTCTCCCAAACTTACCTATATCTCTATAACACACCCTTGTAAAATCGTAGCACCCTACTTTTGAACCTCGTCCAATTTCATCCCTACGGGCGACATTTTAAATCCAGTTTTTTTTTGACGAAAAAAAAACACCCTTTGCAGGTGGCAAGCTTTCAAATCACATCAATGTATACCATTTTGAGCTGTACCTTCAATTAATTTTCAACCCTACAAAACAGGTAGTAGGGACGAAAATCTTTTAAATTGATAGGGTAGTTCGATCTGCTCGTATCTGTTCTAGCACGGGACAACTTCATATCAAGGTATTCCATTTTAACCTATGCCTGACATGGGATTTTAAACCTTAACATCTGGTAGTTAAGGTGATAATCGTTTCAAATTATAGTGTAGTTTGACCTGCGAGTGTCAGCTTAATAATGAATTCGTTCCAAAGGGTGAATAGGGGTGAATTGTAATATAGATGTTTTGCTAATTATAGGAACCTATCTATGTAAGTATTTTTTTTTTAACTAGAATTCTGAACGAAACGGCTCGACCGGAGTGATACCACGGCCTCACGGAAAACCGGCGTGAAGCAACCACAGCGTTGTGTTTCGCCGTGTGAGTGAGGTTACCGGAGGCCCAATCCTTCCCATCCCCCGATCCCTCCCCAATTCCTTAATCTCCAAAACCCTAATCCCTAAGAGGTCGGTAACGAACTCGTAACTCCTCCGTTGCGGGTGTCCATGGGCGGCGCTGATTGCTTACCATCAGGTAATCCGTCTGCTCGTTTG